TGTTTTATTCAGAATTTTTTTAGTAAATATTTTAGTTTCTTGTTAATGTTGCTATGAATGTATACTTTATATCAGACTTTCCTCCGTAATGTTTTAGTCTGCATTGTTTTATTTGATGTTTCAATGTGTAATAATATTAAAACACTTCAATATTTTTTCCCTTAAAAATATAAAGCGGTATAGAAATGAAATTAATAATAATAATAAATTAATAATCCACTCTTTCATAGACTGTAACAAGGAGGCATTTGACATATAAAATGCAATAAAATCAATCTATAAATATATATTAAACATAATTAAAAACATTAGATACTAATTGGTTTAAAGAAAAAAATCATATAATGCAGGCCTGTCTAAGCAGCACAGCTTTCAGAAGATGCCTGAAAGTGGCAGGAATGGTTCCTGCCAAAGCTCTACAGGTAAGGAGCTCCACAGTGTAGGAGTAAGGCCTCTTCCTGTATGATGCTTTAGCACAGGGAAGATTGCTCCTTGTAATCCCCTGGTTATGAACATACCGGTAATATAGAATTCCAGTAAAGTTTCTATCACTGGTGACTGCAGATTCACACACATAACATGTGGTACTGAACTATAAAAGTGTTGAAACTGAAGGGGGCAGATAAAATTCATCTGTATTTCATTTCTTGGGTCCTAGATCAAATCTTTTCAAGGCATATTCAGCAAGAGGGCAGATGCAAATGAGTGCCTGCAGATACTGTTAGGAAAGGCATATGCAAAATGGAAATCTTCCCCCAAACAATTAATTGATATGCAATCATTGTCCCATTGTATTTCTCCAACCCAAATCTTGAAGCTATGAATTGGCATGCAGAAGCAGAAAACAAGCTTATATACAGGGACATTTTCCTCCCCATTAGTTATTTCAGTTGCTGTCTTTGAAGTCCTAGAGAAATGCTAGTCTTCTGCAAACAGTGCCTCCATTTTTTACTTGGCACAGAAGAACTCTTTTGCTAAGAAGGTTCTGGCTATTGTTTAGAAAATATATCTAGCTTTCAGTGTCACAGATGAAGCCTTTTGTTATAAATTATCAAAGAGTTCCCATGTAGGTAGGTGTGGCACATGAGATGAGGCACTGCCACAGCGCTTGGCCTCACACATGGCAGCTGCATGGGGAAGAGGGGACTGAAAGGAATGCATAGCAGATGCAAAATGAATAAAAGTTTCATGGGAGCTATACATATATACCATAACCCTGGATTTAAATAAGCATTCACTTCCAATTTTAAGGAAGGCTGCAAACAATCGGAAAGAACCCCAGCAGGAATCGATGGTAGTGAAATGAGGCTGCTGAAGGAAATGCAATGCATAAATAAGAACAGCCAAAAGGACAAATTTTGGCAGTGTGTATCTGTAGTAAGGGAAATCAGCCAAGCACATTTCAAGAGTAGCTGCTAAAAAAAAAACCTTTATGTGCTCCCTTCCCACCCCAGAAAAAATATTCCCAAGGCAGATCAAAAAAACTGAACGTCTGCTAGGAAATGGCTAGAGCCATTAGGGTAAAAGCACATTAAAGAAAGTTATGGTCAGTGCAGAGAACCTCTGGTGCAGGAAATCTTTGCATCAATCTTCACTGCAGATGACATCAGGGAGATACCAGCAGCAAAAGAAATTGTCACAAATTGACATGTCAGAAGAGCAAATAAATGAAAGAGTAATATGTCACCAGGACCAGATGGCATTCATCTGAGAGTTCTGAAGGAACTCAAATATGAAATTGCAAAATAGCTAACTGCAATATGTAGCTTTCTTACTAAAGTCAGCAACTGCATGAGAAGACTATGAGAGGAAGCTATGATAACAGCAGGCTTTTGAAAGGGATAGACCTACAGGCCTATACAGTGGTACCTTGGGTTACGTACATAATTCGTTCCGGAGGTCCGTTCTTAACCTGAAACTGTTCTTAACCTGAAGCACCACTTTAGCTAATGGGGCCTCCCACTGCCGCCGCACCGCCGGAGCACGATTTCTGTTCTCACCCTCAGTGGCGTAGCGTGGGTTGTCAGCACCTGGGGCAAGGCAAGTAATTTGCGCCCCCTAACCCGTGGATTTGCGCCCCCTAACCTGTGGATTTGCCCTAACCCCAGATGTTGCGCCCGGTGCGGCCGGGCCCCCCCCCCTGCACCCCCCACGCTACGCCACTGCTCACCCTGAATCAAAGTTCTTAACCCAAGGTACTATTTCTGGGTTAGCGGTGTATGTAACCTGAAGCGTATGTAACCGGAGGTACCACTGTATACTATACCCAGATAAATGAGTAAAGTTTCTAATAAATGATAGGTGATGCAAACTCTTAAGTTAAATGCCATATGCTAGGGAGGAGGCATGCTTTTTGTAAATAGAAAGCATTCCTCTTAGAATTGTTTGAAGGTGACAATGAACATACAGCTAAATCTATTACAGTAAACACACATGCTCCTTTACCAGCAGTCCACAGCCATGACATGAGTGGAATGGGACATAGAAGCCAAGGAAGAAATGAATGAAAGGGATAAATAGTTAAGAAATTCAATGCAGGATCAGGCCAAATGCCTATCTAGCCCAGCATCCTGGGTTGTATTCTTTTACTCAGAACAGACTCTGATGTCAATGGTCTTAACTAACTGAAACCCACTAATTTTAATGGGTATAATCTGTGTAACAGTTACATAATACCACCCCCTACTTTCCCTAGGGACTAGCCACATGCCTATGGGAAGCCCGCGAGCAAGGGCAATAACTCTCTTCAGCTGTTGTTCCCAAGTGACTGGTGATTGCGAGCATGCCTCCCCTCATCCTGGAGATAGCCTGCAGCCATTGTGACTAGTAGCCAGGTTCATTTTTATTGCAGGGAGTTATTTTTATACGCCCACTTATAATACGAGGAGGGAAACATTGGATAGCAAGGTGGTATAATTGCTAGGGACAAAAATTTATTCAGGGTTAAAATTAATTTCACACCTACAGAAATTCCTGTGAAATATTTTCTGAGTCAGAAAAGTCACAGTAGAAGGGCTTTCTTGCAAATGCCCACTGTGGGTAGTATGAGAACATCTAGCCCGGTGTCTGATTTGGCCGAGTGGTCAGCTGGGAGTCCAAAAGTGTGCCTTGAATGCAGCAGCTTTCCTCTGTTACCTATCTCCAGCCAGCATCTAGTATTCAGAAGTATACTGAACTTGAAGGTTCCAGTTAGGTATCATAGCTAATGGCTTTTGATAGAACTGTCCTTTACAATGCTTGAATTATTGGTGTGGGAGGAGGAGGAGCCTCTTAATAGCATCTTAAAGCTCCATCTCTTGTTCCATAGAATCATAGCCAAACCATGGCTTTCCTCTAGCCCACTAAAAACATTGACTAGAATAAAGGTGAGGACCCTGTGACCTTCTTGACCCTGCCACAATGAATTATTAAGTTTTATTCTCTCTCTTTTTAACCCACCTCTGTGTCTAACACACATGTGTAACAAAACAAACCGTTGCTTAGAAGAAAGCATCTTTCAGAGGGGAAGTGTTTGGATAAGAGGGGTTCTTAGCTCTCACTGCCAGCCACTTCCCCACTGCAGCTCCTCCCATGAGCCACTTCCCCCCATACCCTGTCCAAACAAGCTGAAGTTGGGAAAGGCTGGGTTCGGAAGTGCCATGTCCTACACATCTTCTTGGCTGATCAAGATTTCTCAGTTCTAATGCTCCAGGAAGAAAGCATGTTTGCTTCTCCAAACAGGTTAAATCGCCTCATACAAAGAACAAAAGAGCCCTCAGTTTGTTCGATTTGACTGCCAAAGCTGTGGCAATCTGTACAGGGAAGGGAGAGAGAAGTGGAGTGTGAAAGAACCTGCACATATTCCAGTCTCAGCAGCAGGGAGTTTGCCATCTCTCTCTACCATAATTAAATATTGTTTGCATTGCTTATTGACAAAGCACTAAGCTCCACTCAGTTTTAATTTGTTCTTTGATAGTCGCCTTTTGCTGCTAATTGATTTTCAAGGGGTTTTTGTCTGATTTAATACCTGCCATGCTACTGAAAACAGAGAGGCAAGGTTAAACAGAGCCAAGAAATGAGCCAGGAATCAGTGCATCTTCTCAACCAGTTTGCTTTACAAGCCACCTCAACCTGACGCACAAAGGCTGCATTTAAAAAAGATTTAGCAGCTCTTCCACTCCCAGCCCCTTCCAGGCACAGCTCCTGCTGCTCCTGCTGTTGCTATGGAGTTTACTTGAAGAGGGCTCAGAAGTATAAATGTCCTGGTTTCCCAGCAACACACACTCCAGGGAATGGGCCAGGGCCATTGGCTGCAAGGGAAAAACTGCTAGCAGCGGTGTCCTGTGGCGATCAAGGCCATGAGCTATAAGCTGAGTGTGTCCCATTCAGAACTGAACTAAAGAACCGGATTTCTCATGCTCAAGAGAAGACTGCACTAAAAATAATATCTACCTGCTGAACAAGGAGAGTTAGCTGTGGATCTTCCTGCACAGCTGCCATGTTCAAATGGAAGTTACTGAAAATACTAGCATTTTCTTTTTAAACATGGACGGCATCTATAACCAACCAGGGGGGTGTCCAGAACTGTGGTGGGACCTATTTCAATACCACAAGCAGCAGCCAGTAAGGTGTTGTGGCAGGTAGCATATATATTGCTACCTCTGCTGAGCTGCTGTCAAGTGAGATGAAGCCCTTGCTCTTATGGGAATTATAAGGTCAGCACTGAGCAAGCAGGTGGCTGCTGAATGGCCAGTTACATCCCATGCAGGCATGAGCCAATGATGTCAGCAGCCTATGTTGGGTGATGATGATGGTCAATCAACAGCTGTGTGCCCACAAAAAAACAGTCCTATCCGTCCTGTTCCTCCTATATTACAAAGCAACTCCAGCAGATAAAATGGGGACTCTTCATATTGGTTGCCACTCAGCCGCAGACGCCACATACAATCTGCCGCACCAGCTTGCTGGCTGCTTCTGTATAAAACTGACCTGAACTTTTGTCTCCTCTTTTTCCTCTCCAGGAAGATCCAGATGGAGAAGAAATTGAAAAAGAAAAGTCCAACTCCCTGAAACTGGAGTTCACAGAAGATGCCAACTTCAAAACGAAGGTTAACTACTCTTATGCAGCTGTGCAGATACCTACAGACATCTACAAAGGCTGTGAGTTGCCCCTTTTCACAGAACTCTTCGTTTTAAGTCTGGAGACAACCCCCATAGATCAGGAGTGAGGAACGCTTGGCCTGTGGGCCAAATGCAGCTGGACAGTTGGCCTTCTAGAGCCCCTTCCACCCCCCTGTTGTTCAGCAGGAAGCAGCTGAGAGGGAAATGAGGTTCTGATGTTGGGCAAAGTGTGTATGATTGCAACTCCTCTCTCTGCAAGAAGGGAGAAGTGCCTCAGCAGAGAGGCAGACTTTTTGCATATTTCCAGGAGCGCAAGCATCCATGCAATATGCAGTTGCACGCATGCAATTTTGGGGGAAGCAATTGCAGTTTGGAGTTTGAGTCTTTGACTGGCGGTAAGGCAGGGCTTGCAGTTCAGCTGTGCATTGGTGTTATTTGCAATCTTCTGTTGGGATTACCGAGTTCTTTTTGCCTTTTCTATAGTCAGCAGAGACAAAGGCTATTAGCTTTTCCTTTTCAAACTTTTTTCTAAGAGTCTGAGGAATTTGAATCATTTTTTCTCTTAAATTTACTTATTTTTTAAAAAATGTTTTTGACTGTTTTTACTGATAAATTTAATATTTATTGTAAACAGCTCAGGGGTTTTACTGCAACCAAGTGGTACATACATTTTATGAAATACATGAAATTAAGAGAAAATGAAAAGTGAGACTAGAGTTACTGCAAATTAAATATATGCTTTTGTTTCCATGAGAAGTAACTGTTTGTGTGTCTATGTGAATGTGCATATTAAGGGTATGTGATTTTGTGTGCATCTCACCCCACCCCTTTTGGATCTGAGCCAGCCACTGCTGGAAGGTGGCCCATGAAAGCTTTCCCCCAGGGTAATGCCACCCCCAAAAAGTTCCCCACCTCTCCCATAGATTAACTATTCAAGCTTCGTAATAGACAATATAATTGGGTTAATTTATCCTTGCACCTAGATGCTTGATAAACTATAGCTGAGCTTAGCCAGATCTGCCCTTCCCCAAACAATAGCCCAGCCTCCACTGAAAAATGAGCACACATCCACACACACAAAATCAAAGTATTTTTGCCTTGCTCTACACTAGAGTAATCTGGGATTGTTTCATTGCTGCTGCCTTAGTATGGTAAGGTCAGGGGCGGACTTTGGTAATATGGTGCCATGAGCAAGGACAAAATTTGGGGCGCACACCCCAACTTTGAGTAGCTACTCATCTAAATACAGTGGGACCTTGGTTCTCAAACATAATCCATTCCAGAAGTCTGTTCGACTTCTGAAACGTTCGAAAACCAGGGCGTGGCTTCCGATTGGTGCAGGCACCCCGGAAACAATAGCCGACAGCCGCATCAGACGTTTGGCTTCCGAAAAACGTTCAAAAACCGGAACAGTTCCTTCTGGGTTTTCGGCGTTTGGGAGACAAAATGTTCGAGTACTAAGGCATTCGAGAACCAAGGTTCCACAGTATAGGTATTATTATTAATAATAATAATTATGCACCTCCTTTGCTTGGTGCCCTGTGTGAGGGAACTGCCTGCACCAGCCTAAACCTGGTGCAGGTATGGTGCCAGTTTGCTGTGTAGCTGCACTGCACCAAAACCACCTGTTGCTTTTTATTCTGCTGCTGTTGCCTGCATCGCTTTTGTGATGGGCTACATGCCCTTTGGCAAGCTCTGCAGCTTGATCCTCTCTGAGAGTTGGTATTGATCAGCCTCGCCTTTATAGTCGCACTCTCGTGCTGAGCCTTCCTTCCCGTGGACGTTACAGAGAACAGCTTTCGCCTGGGCAGTTGTTTTCCAAATAATGGTTTCTGGCTTTTGAAAAGTGCAATTGCCATTCTAATTAAGGTGGGGGCACTGGCAGTTTCTCTAGCACCATATTGAAGATGCCTCTCCTGCGTGTCACAGCGCTGCACCTGATGGTGCGCATGCCCATCAGGGTTGTTACGCTGCATCTGAGACTGCTTTGCCCTTGTCTCTGTCATTCCCTCTGGCTTTTGCTTCCTTTTTGCAGAAGAGAAGATGTCAAGTTCGTCTTTGCAAATGCTCAGTCACAGAACAGTTTGCTGTGTGCATAATTTGCACTACAGGCTATCAAATTTCTATTCGATACACTATTTATTTGCATTGCTTTTTTGCATTTCTTTCTGATTTTCTGCTGTTATAACGCACCCACTCCCACTCCCCCCCCCCATGTAACTGTAAAGTAAGTGGCCTATCCCAGAATAGCCACAGCTTTTGAATCAGGGAAGCAGAAAAAGAGAAGGGTGAAGAATGACAACTCCCACCTGTAGGTAGAGATGAGGAAGAAATTAATTAGGCAGGTTACATGAAAATACAAACCTGATTCTCACTTCCCAAACCAGTAAACAAAATGAAATATTTTCCATTCTTCAAAATTTGCACTTCTCCAACCAAAAAGTGGACACAAAAATGCATTGAGAACAATGTGCAAAATTATATTAGGAATAATTCCTTACAAAGATGTGTGTGTAAGGTGAACTTGCATACAAAATTGTCTATTTTAAGAAAAATGCAACAAGAATGCATACAGATTTTCACATAAACTTTGAAAGAAAAATTCACAAATGGATGTGGAAATGGGGTGAGCTGAAAAAATGAAAAACCAAGAGAAGCTGAAATGGACAGATTCATTCATCCCTACCTGCATATGATTTCTGCAACATCCAACAAATAGGAGTCCAGTCCAAATGCATTTTTTAGAGGGATAAGTTGAAAGGAAATGTTTTCATATGGTCCTTTCTAAATTATAGTCTTTCACACAAATTCTCTCACAAATGCCCCATCCATGTGCATATATGTATGATTATGAAAGAGAGATTTGTCGAGGTCACTGGGATCATAACATTCCTGCACAAGCACGTGAGATTACAATATGCATCTAGTCTCGCCCATCATAAAGGTTTTTATTCTGGAAAACCTTCACTGTGTAAATGCTTCCAACAGATTTATGGTCTGGTGGGAAAAGGCCCTAGGTGTTTTCAAAAGCTCTTAGTGATGCTGCCTGTTTGCAGTCCAATTAGTGCTTTGTCCCTGCATGGCTCATCACTGGGTAGAAAACTCATTCTTTCTCACTAGCTCTGAAGCAGCCACAGCAAAGCCTCAAATCTTCACCAGGAGCTCTGAGTTCTTTGTTACCCCCCTAAGGACTAGTCTCTCTGTTGCCACAGGAAGATGGGAGGGGAGAATTGTTCTTAAGACTTGGCTTTACTCAGCTGAATTGTATCTGAGGGCTCACGAAGGCTTTTTCTGCCTCTGCACTTGCTTCTGTTTGAGGGAGCTTTGCTGGCAGACAAAAGGAGGTCTCAGAGCATCCACTGAAACGCAATATAAAAGCCTAGCACTATGCTTAGATTTTTGAAAGCTACTTTAATTTGCATTCTCCGTGGACAGCGACAAATGTGAATGAAAGCAGGGTAGGATGCAGGCACTTTGACAAGTGGACACTTGCCTCCACAAGCCCATCTAAGAGGAGGGAAAGCACTGTGCCCAGATATGCACACTCCTATGTATGGCAATGTGGAGTGATGGTTCAAATGCAGAAGCTTCTTTTTCCGGGTGAAATCTAGAATGGAGAATATGCCATGCATTCATAGTGTTAAAAAATATAATAGAAAGATGCAACCTAATTCCAGGCCTCTTCAAAAAAAGGCCAATGTTTGTTTGAACCCATTCACAACAACGATCAAAGAGGAATGCAAGCAGCCCTCCTCCACAGAAAAGCTGTGAATCTGAGCTGGTCTGTGCTGTTGTTTATATACACTGGAAGTCCTACATTGAAAGAAATGCAGCCCCTTTCCTCAGCCCTGCAGCTGACCTCTCCAGCAGCCACAGCATAGTTTGCATTGAATATATCTCTATGCTGCTGGTCCTTATATTCAGGCATAGAGCAGGTAAGTGGAACAAGGAGCAGCAAGGAGCAGTGTTTGCACAGCCTATGAGCAGGGTGGAATTGTGCTCCCCTGCCATGTGTGCTCTAAAGACTTTTTGTGCACAAACACTCCCTGAGCCCACATGGCCCCTCCTTATTCCAACCATTTTGTGGCCGTATATTGGGGAGAGCTCAGAGGGGCTCCCATGCCTTGTGCATATAACACATACTAGAAAGTACAGCTCTCGGTCTCCCTTTAGTGGCCGCTCTGAATATCCACATTGTTAAGTCTCTGGCACCTGCTTGCTTTGAGACTTGAATATGCTTTGAAAATTTCTCCATTAAGTCACTTAGGAATCTAATCAAAAGCGACATAGAAGCTTAACTTTTACTGCCTTTCAGCCAGACTGTGAGCTAGGAAAGGTGTGTTTTCGCTTGAAACTCTTGTTAATATCCTTGTGTAGAGAGACTAATTCCACCTAACTTAACAGCAAAATAGGAAGCATGGAGTTAACCTTAGAAAGCTGAGTCAAACTAGCTGCCTGTCCTCACGGTATAATGTGTGATAGCTCACTGGAATGTGAAAGTCTGTCTCCTGATGCAACATGCATGTTCTAAATATTTTGATTGTTGCCACATTAAAGAATGCCGCTAATCCTTATGAATCTACCTCACCCACATTTGTGACTTTCCCCAGAACAGTAAACCACACACAATGTCTCACTGGCTCTTTGGGTCACATTGTTGGGTGGTTTCACATTTTGGGGGGTTTCAACAATGGTTGCCTCTGTGCCACCCAACATCTAGCTTGCATTGTTCCTTTGGCAGTGTATTCCAACATGCACTTATGTTGGCTCGTAAACGTGTGGAGAACGACATCAGTAGAAAGATTTCACTGCACCGGCACCAGTGGATTAGAAATGGCAATTAGTTTTATTACCTACCTAGTCCAGGCCGAGCAGCTAATGAACCGAATCATGAGATGGGGGGAGGAGACCTTGGGGTGGGTGAGCAGGATGAAATATTCATGATTTCCAACCTCCTGCTTCTAATGCAGAACAAGCACTGGTGCCCTGCCAAAGCCACATAAATCAACACACAGTGCCGTGGAACAAAATCAAATTGG